TAGGGTGGCTCCTGGCGCCTGGATAAAGCTGTAGCCCACAGTGAGTGAGGCTGAAATACTTATATTACCTAGTGGAATATGCAACTGGAATCAAAAGGTTGTGCAAAGCAGACATGACAGAATGAGTATATTATGTGAAACTAGAACTACCAGAGGATTATGTTCCACAGAAAGTCCCCCAAATCATACTTTCCCCTAGGCCATTGGGGTGGGCACGGTGGCTCATGCCTGTAATCCCAGCACTTTGGGAGGCCAAGGCAGGTGGATCAGGAGGTCAACAGATCAAGACCATCCTGGTCAACATGGTGAAACGCCGTCTCTACTAAAAATACAAAAAAAAAAAAAAAAAAAAATTAGCTTGGCATGGTGGCGCATGCCTGTAATCCCAGCTACTCAGGAGGCTGAGGCAGGAGAATTGCCTGAACCCAGGAGGCGGAGGTTGCGGTGAGCTGAGATTGCGTCATTGCACTCCAGCCTGGGTAACAAGAGCGAAACTCCGTCTCAAAAAAAAAAAAAAAAAATGGAAAGCACTGTTAACAGGCACATGAGCCTCACTATGGAGTTCGCTGCTCTCTCCTGTAGACCACAGCTGGAGGTAGAAGAACCACCATAGAACTAGCGTCAGTAACAGCAATGGGGATACTAGGACCCTAAAGCAATAGAGGCCAGTAAAGAGATTTTAACACTAAAAGCTAGGAGATTATTATTTTCGTAAGAGCAAAGAAGATCAGAGTGGCAGCTATGGAAGCCTGACCTGCAGAGAACTATGGAGATGGTTTAATAGGACATGGTATATCACTTTGGGCAAAACAGATGGACATCCAACCTAATCAATAGAAAACAATAATTGATATTGTGTGACATGCTGAGGCCTGTTCAAATAAAGCCACATTCCCTTGCCCAGTTTTTGGACTCAAGCCAGTTTTCAGACTGGGATCCACTGACTCCTGAGGGTGAGGCCCTCAAGGGAAGGACCTTATTATGTACTGTAAAGATCCTCCTAATCCATCTCCAAAAGAGCCAATGGCTTGCTCCAGAGACTATATACTGGAAAAAGGTAGTACCAAAATATTCAGAAGCCAGATGGACATAGGATCTGTATTGATACTTCTACCTAGTGATCTGAAACATCTTTATGCCTCCTCTGTTAGAGTGGGGTATAAGGGAGCCAGGTGATAAAGTGTGATGGTCAAATTCTGGCTGTGGTGAGTCCATTGGGTCTGCAGGTACACCCAATAGTCATTTCCTCAATTCCTAAAAGTATAACTGGGATTGATGTACTTGACTTTTGGAGTATCTCCTACGTTGCATCCTGGTCTTATGGGATAATACCTATCTTATTGAGAAGGTTAAGTGAAAACTTCTGAAACTGTCTGCCCTATGCCTTGGCCAGAATCATAAATCAAAAATAGTATCACTTCTAGTAGGTGGGTATGGGGGAAAATGTTAAGAGATATTAATTTTAAAAATAAAGGATTCAATGGTAGTGGTCCCTATCATATCTCAGCTTAATCCTATTTGTGCCATGCAGAAACCAGATGGATTCTGGAAAATAACTATAGACAACCACAATAACAACCAACTTGTAACATTGATCATAGCTGCTATGCATGATGTGGTTTATTGCTACAGCAGATTAATAAGGACCCAGGTACATGATATAGAACCATTGATTTGGTGAATATATTTTATTTTGTTTCAATCAGAAAAGATCAGACACAGTTTATATGCAAATATCAAAAGGTATATTATCATTTTGCCCCAAGAAAAAGCTCTCTCACCCCTGTCATGTTATCATCAGAAGAGCTGGATCATATGGATATTCTACAGAATATCACATTAATCTTTTATGTTGATGATGCCATTTGATCAGACAGAATGAGCCAGAGAGGACCCAGAACACTAGAGGTCTTGGAATGGGTCCAGCCCTCCCAAGCATAGGAGAAAATCCTGTGAAGACTCAAGGGCCTGCCATTCACTGAAGATTTTAGAGGTCCACAGCCTAAGGATGTGCCAGGTCATCTTCTTTCAAGTAAATTGTTGCATCTACCTTCTACCATAAAGAAAGACGCACAATGCTTGCTCAGCCACTTTGAGGTCTGGAGGCAATGCCCCTGGCTCTTATGGTGGGTGACGTAAAAGGTGACCACTCTAAACAAGAGTAGGAAAGGGCTCTGTAGCAGGTCCTGATTTTGGACACTTGGGCAGCAGTCTTGTCTGGCAGAGAGCACATGAGATGTGGAAGGAAAACAAGGTATGAAAGAGGCAGGTAAGCAGGCCAAAGTCAGTTGAGAAACTGCAGCACACCCCTCAAGAATATGTTCATCCTCTTGAAGGCACTAGAGAGCCATCGGTTTCAGTTTCTATTTGTTTGATTTTTAAAGAATAACTTAGCAAGGGAAATTTTTATAGAAACTTTGGTAAGATCCCGTGTGCAGAATGGACTAAAGAATGCTGGGTGCTATTAAGAAAATAGCCTTTTGCCTTTTGTCATTCCTTCCCCATCTTGCCTTCGTTGTCTTCATCCAAAACATTAACCTAACTAAACTAGGGCTTGGAAGGAGAGCACTGACAGTGAGATTGTGTGAGCAATGCATTTTATTTTGTCCCTGCTTTATTCAGAGTTAAATTTTTTCTCCAACTTGTTAGTTTGCTACAGAGTGGCAGTTTCATTCCCCGCCTCTAGAAAACCAGTGTAGTAATTTCTATCAAGGCCTTCATTATTACACAGATCTACAAGTTGATATCTTGGGGAATTCATTCCAATGAGCTTTTACCTGTATAAGTACTACATCGCCTGTAAAGGACCCTTGAGTTCCTTGGAGAATAATGTCATTCTTTGCACATCTTTTAGAATATCTTGAAAGCTTTTGACTTCCAACAGCCTGAAAATATTTTCCAGTAGTAAAGCAGTGAAACTGTTTCTAGACAAACCTTAAATATTGAGCTAGACCATGATAACACTTTTACTTGTCATTATCAAGACAGTCAAAGCAAAAGAGGCCTTTTAATACAAACTTTTGTTTCCATGATCATGATAATTGAGTTAATTTTTTAGTGCACTTGTAATAAAAAATATTTGTGGAATTAATATACTAGTCATATGATCCAGTTTAGAAAACAGCAACACAGTGTGCCAAATAATCCTTAGTTAAGGCAAAAAAAAGGAGAGAAAAATACTTTTTGCTTTCCAAATTCTCCTTTTCATTTTAGCAAACTCGTATTGTATTGAACAGTATATAAACATAGTCCTAGAGGTGCTCTTATAGGTTGGTGCTACTTGTATTTTTCTTAAGTGCCCATAGTTTAAGTCAGGAATTTCCTTACAGGTTTCAGTACGTTTCTTCCAAGGCAAGTTAGCACTTGAGTAAGAGCTCCCTCCACTGGAGTCTGAGCTTTAAAAACTCTTTTTGCCTGCAATGTAGCTTCCTTCAAGAAGCTCCCCTTCCTGAACCCCACCTAGTACTGGGAGATTAAACCAACAAAACATTAAATAATGTCCTTCAGGAAAGGTGCCACTAAACCCATTTATCAATCCAAGGAGGCTGAACTGGAGAGAAACAAAAAAATGTATACAGTTCCTCCTGTCATTGTTGAATCACATCAGCTGCACAGAATATGTTCTCGGAAGCTTGGAACATAAACTGACTATAATCACATGCCTTCAAGGTCTCAGCCCAGTTTTTTGTCAAATGCACATTTTGATGAATTATTGCTTTCAAGGAAATTTTGGAAATTTACACCCCAAAAACTCTAACCCAGGGTTATTTTGCTTTCCTTAAAGTTTACCAGTTTGAGCTGCATTTCTAAAAAATGAAAACTTCAGATTTAATATTATTTTAGGGCATTTAAGTTAATAAAATATTCTGGATAATCCTGAGTGACCCCTTTTATCATACTTGAGTTGCATATTTTCAATGAATTGGAATAAAAGAAGACCAGATAATTAACACAAGTGATATAGGTCATGTTCAACCATTCTTGTGAGGTCTAGAGTTCACCATTATGAATATTTATTACTAGCTGTGTAACCTTTACTAAATTTCATAAGCAGTTTGAAAATGTTTTCTTAAATTTCTAAAAATGGGCCTATTAACACTTTACTTACCTCAAAGGGTGCTTCAAAGATTAAATAAAATAATGAATGTGAAAGTACTTTGCAAACCATAAAAATTATTGTGATGAAACTATGTCCATGTAACAGTGGGATAGGTGCTTTCAGAGTGACCAGCTGGCCTTTCTGGTAAAATCTGTCAGTAAGCATGGTATGTGGAATTAATACCATTACTTCACAGATACAGTGTGTACCAAAAGATGTACAAGTACTGGTTAATGGAGAGAGATGGTTAACTAAATAACATTTGGCCCAATAGAAAGCATTATCTCTTCATATAGTAGGCAGCATACTAAGGATTTTTAAAAGTTGATATTATTCTCTAAATCCTGTTCTTTTCCATTTGAAAAGAAAGAAAAAACTGAAAATTTATCTTGGAATGTTTATTGTGGATTTATTTTTTGAGTGAACAAATCTTTCTAACTTAACATTGAAGAGTCAGTAAAAGGTGAGTATTTTTGCATAAGTTGCATTATCAGAACAAACTGATACATGCAGTCCTCCAAAAATAACAGATTGTGTGATCATAGTGCTGCCTGAATATGCACCTATTCTCTATGTTCGGTTTCCCTATTATTGACTTTCTACCACGTTTCTCTTTTCTCCATGTCACAATTCCAATCACATCAGTAGGAGCTCAATAAATCTTGAATAAGAGTACTCATTATACATACGTATGGTAGAAACATCAAGTTCTCTGAAAGAATGTTTAAATTAAATATTGCAATTTTTAAAACACTAAAAAATTCAGAGACGTTTTGCACATGGATCGCCGAAGTATATACTTCAGAACTTCCAGGGAGTGGGTACTCTTTATCAACTGGAAATCATTGTATAATTGGTCTAGTAAATGCTTGCTGATGATTCTGATACTTAATTCTTTCAGAATTTATTTTGTTTCCTGTGACCAAAGAAGATGAGAAGCAAATGATCCATCTTTAAAGGTTCAATGTTCACTTTATTTACATGTTTATGACAGCTTGATCTTGTAACCTCCATTTTTTCCCTTCTTGTTTTTCCCAGTAGGGTGATGTAGTTCCTTCCCAATGTTCAATTAATTCTTTGTATATTCTACAACACTTTGCATTTTTAACTTCTTTTTCAAGGAGACTGTGAACTACTTGAAGGTGTTTTTTAAATCTTCAGTACCCAGCACAGTGCCCTTTGTAACCATCATAAAGAATCTCAATATATTGTTGTATAACAAGAGATTGACAAAAAATACTTTCATTCTCTCTCTGCCTTTTGAGATCCTTGAGATGTGACAAAGGTGTATCCTCAGGAAAATATTCTTAAGCATAAGGACAACTGCTTGATTTAACAATTTGCCTATAAAGTCTACTAAAATGCCTGAACTTCACAGAGGATAAAAGTAAATGATAAAATTTTTTTCTATTTGTTTAGGGCTGTAACATTTGAAGTGAGCAGCTGGGACTATATCCTCCTTGCACTTTGTTCATACATAAGGAGAAATGAAAATTCTGAAAAGACATCTGTATTGTAAATCAAAATACATTGCTGAAATCAATGTTGAGTTGACATTCTGCTTGCAAATATTCTTTTGAGATTGGTTCTTGTAAATCTCTTTCCCATCTGGTTTTTATGTCTGCTCTGGGACTTGTATGCACAGAGTTGTCTAGGATCTGCTCAGAATGTTGATATAAAGTATGTGGTTTTTAATAAAAGGTTAGCTGGGAGGGGAAGACACTGTCTTGGTCACATCTAAATTGCTTATATATCTTGTAGCTCAGTTAAAGTTTTAGAAACTTTGGGAAGTGTTTTCTTGCAACAAGAAAACTTATTTGAAGCCATGAAATAATTGTATCCTTCAACTTATATTTTTGTAGAGAACATTTGCTGGAAGGATAATTTTTATTTTTAAACACAGGAAGAGTGAGTAGCAGAGAAGAGTTTGTGATTGCAATTTCCTCTCTTGCCATAATTGCACTATTTCCATTAAATTAATGATGGAGAGAAACAATTGTTTATATATAAAGTTTTTTTTCCTTATTGAAAGTTAGTTAATTTGGGAATGTTGATCTCTTCTAAATGGCAAATTTAACGATGACAAAGAAAAAAATTCAATCTGAGATGTCATGATAAATAAGCCCATGATTATAACTTAACATCTGGAATTGATATTCCTCCTTGAGTTTTATGAGAGAATGGTGCTCTGAATGAACTTTTGCAAGTGAGAACACAATCATCACCATCATCACATAATGTTTACTCAATTCTAGTCTCCAGTTACAGGTCAGTGGTTAATCTCTACGCAGCAACCAATTGTGGATTCATATAAAGACAGAAAAGACATATTTGACTCCTTAGAACCAGAAATTGGCCTCTGCTCCCATCATCTAAGGTGTGTGTGGAGTGGGGTTGGGGGAGAGGGGATTCCAGAAGCATATGGGAAGAAGAGAAAGCACTTAAGAAGCCCTGGATGACTCTGAATCACCTCTTCACTGAGGAAGTAGCTAAACAAGTCTTCTGGAGCCAGAAGCTTTCTCTCCAGTAGTGGGGATAAGTCTACTGACTCTAATTTGGTAATTTGTTTGTTTGTTCTTTTTGACACAAGCAGTACAGAGCAAAAAATCATGGAAGGAATGAAGGGAATTAAAAATGTTTTCCTATGGTCCTTTGGAGACCACAGTTGTACCCATTGGAGAAATAAGGAATATTAAGTCAATCTTGCCATCTTCCTCCTTCCAGTGGAGTCCCCTCTTACTTGGATTTAACCTGCAACCCCCCTACCCAAGTCCTCATAGCAACAAACAGATTGACAGATCTACTCTCATATATTAAATTTGTAGAGACTTACTTTTAAAACAGAAGGGGCAAAGCATTTGGGAAAGTGGAATATTTAAAAATTTTCCCCTAATCTCTCATTTATCACAAGGGATTTCATAATTATCTTAAAAACAAGGTGACTTTCATCCTTGACATCTGGATTTAGCATTCTTTCTTTCTTTAATGTAGATCAGTCACTCTCTAATTTTGATATTTATAAGAAAGAGATATTCTCAAGAAAAATTTTGTCTGCATATGCTTTTTAGTTTTTCTGCTGACTTAAAACTCTCACCTTTGCTTAAACTGTAACTCCTCTAATTGAGTTTTTCCAGGTCTCTATATTCCAGAGGCAGTTCAGCAGGAGAGCTAGTCCATGTTAGTCTTCAGGAGGGGTTTTCTGGCTGATAGCCCATGTGAGGCCAGGCTCCTGGGTATCCTCAGAGTATGCTTTCCTTTGTTTATTATGTGTGCATGACTAATATTCGAAGCTCAAGAGTAAGCCCAGAATTCAGTTGGTACACCATTCATAAGATCAAGAAAACAATATTATCACATCCACCACATTCCTTACAATCAGGTTATTGAAATGTCAATTGCATTTAGACTCTGTAAAGCATATCAGTTAGATTACATATGCTTACAATTGGGATTCCCCGATATTACATAATTTCAAGTTAAATGGATAATGTGAGTCTTTCCTTCCTATTTTTAAACTTCATCCAAATCTAGACATCTTGTTAAGTAAATGTGTTCCCTTGTGGTTACTGCTGCATTCTAACTCCCCCTTACTAGTTTGTCAGTCTATTTTTAACTGTGGACATTATTTTATCTGGCCCTTCTTTAATGCTCCCATCCACCACTTCACTTGGAGCTTTCTTTAACTTTCTGTTGCCCGTCATTATAAAGTAATCTGCTCGCTGCCCAACAATCTGTAACTAAATATGGTGACGCTTACTGTTAAGTGAAATAGTTTCTTTTCTGCCTTTTTTTTTTTGAGACAGAATCTTACTCTGTTGCCAAGGCCATAGTACAATGGCATCATAATAGCCCACTGTAGCCTCAGACTTCTGGGCTCAGGCAATATTCCCACTTCAGACTCCTGAGTAGATGGGACTACAAGTGCATGCCCGTGTACCCAGCTAATTTTTATTTTTTGTAGAGATGGGGATCATGTCTTATTATCCAAGTTGTTCTCAAATTCCTGGCTCCAAGTGATCCTCCTGCCTCAGCCTCCCAAAGTGTTGGAATTACAGGTATGACCCACCATGCCCAGCCATTAGTTTCTTGTTATTAGTCATATCACTATTGTCTGATATAGTAAGAGTGCTCATGAATTTTTGCCATAATGGGAAAATGTTTGCATGTTTGTGCCTGTGTCTGTGTGTGGTTGCATGCACAGTGTGTTGTAGTGTTTATCTCTTGGTCTAATTAGACATGTTCTAGGACAGATTCTGTGCGTGTTGATCTCAGGAGTTGTTAGGGATGGTGTTTGCACAAACAAGTCATTTTAATGCTAGCCACCTTCTCTGTCTATTACATTGAGACATGGCCCCATTAAGATGGCTATAAAGACAAGGAAGGCTAACTTAATATAGATCATGTCACTTCTCAAGTGGTTCCTATCCAAGATAATTGAAACCTTTCTGGCCCATTGGGAAGAACCATCATAGAGGATAAATGGTGTCAGTGGTTTACCACTCTTCAGAAAGTGATTTATTTAAATTTTATACAGCAGAAACATATCCCCAGGCAAGGCAACACAAAAACTTGTTTATAAAGTGGACCCTTTCCTATACCCAGACATCTGAATAAATAGATATATAGTCTGTCCAGCTGAACGATAAACACCGGAGCAAACTAGCAGATTGCTGAGAAGCGTTAAAAGGTGAGCAAGAGGGTGGTTGTTCTGCCCAACAATCAGCTACAAAAGGCAAAGACTGGCATTCAGTGGATGATCCAACTATCACAATATTTATTTTAGACAGACAGGATAATGGTGTGACAAGGGGCAAGAGGGGAATTGATGTATGTCTCATCAGACACATAGACATACAATAAGAAAAACAAGACAAATTCAAGGCAACCTTCTACACATGCTTGTTTTAGTAGATGTAGCTCCTTTGATTAATATTCTATTGGTGAAGATGCGAAGGCATTTTTTTCCCCTAGATTGATCTGTATATCAAGGAAAAGTGGAGCCCAGACAATCTGTAATAACTTCTGGAGAGGCTCATTTGTCTCATGTCACACAGCATGGTTTTGGTGAGAGAAACAGAAGTGAGGAGGGAAGGGGAGAGGGAAGAAGAAGGAATCCCGTAATGTTCTCTGCCGTCATGGCCTATCCAGGTACTTTGGACTTTTTTTTGTGTGAGAGTTTTTGAGCCTTTACTCAATACATGTTAAAACCTAAAATAAAAACAGATGCTCAGTAAATAAAAACTATAAATTGCAAGGGGTTTAGGATTCAAGTTGTGGTATGTATGCATGTGTGTGCTCACATGTGTGCATATGAATGACAATGTGTGTGTGTGGTTACCTCCCTATTGATTTAAACATTCTTAACATGGAAGAAAAATAATTTTTATCTGTTTAATGTATAAAAACAAATTCAGTTTGTCAGTTTAGTAAATTTAGTAAGGTACATTGTTTAGGGCTTCAAGAATCATCAAAAGTTTTGTCTTCATAAGGGACATACAGTGTCTTTAAATATTTAAGTAGTTGAGTGAAATAATCAGATATTTAATTTCATATGCTGACTTATGAGGAGAAAATAGATTAGAAGAGGAAAATGGTAAATGAGATAGAACTTTTGTGAATAAGCAAGTACTCAGAGATTTCATTACCACCAGGCCTGCCTTACAAGAGCTTCTGAAAGAAGCATTACACATAGAAAGGAACAACCAGTATTAGCCTTTCTAAAAATATACCAAAAAGTAAAGAGTATCAACATAATGAAGAATTTATATCAACTAATGGGCAAAATAGCCAGCTAACATCAAATGGCTATAATCTTAAATTTAAATTGACTAAATCCCCCAATCAAAAGATACAGCCAAAACCCATCGGTATGCTACATCCAGACCCATCTTACATGCAAGGATACATAAAGAGTCAAAACAAAGGGATGGAGAAAGATTTGTCAACCAAATGGAGAGCAAAAATAAATAAATAAATAAAAAGTAGAGGTTGCAATTCTCGCCTCTGATGGAATGGATTTGAAAGCAACAAAGATCAAAAGAGGACATAATGGTAAAAGGATCAGCGCAACAAGAAGAGCTGACGATCCTGGATGTGTACCCACCCAATACAGGATACATAAGACTTGTAAAGAGACTTGGACTCCCACACAGTAGTAGTGGGAGATTTCAACATCAATATTAGATAGATCAATGAGACAGAAAATTAATAAGGATATCCTGGACTTGAACTCAGATCCGGAACAAGTAAACTTAATAAACATTTATAGAACTCTCCACTTTAAACACACAAGATATGCACTCTTATCAGTACCACATCACACCTACTCACAGGTTTAAATGAAATATTGGTTGGCCATTATTAAGCACAATTGATGGTAAAAGGGAAGTTTTCAATACCCATTTTTAGGCTGCATTCTAGCCTGGGCAATTAAGCAACACTCCCGTTCTCTCTCCCTCCTCCTCTTCCTCTTTTTTCCTCTTTTTCATTCCTTTTCCTTTCCTTCTTTCTCTCTAAAAAAAAAGAGAGAGAGAACTATGAGGAGGTTTCTTGGGAGATGATAGTGGCTTGATCTTGAGTGATGGGAGCAGAGATACTGAGAAATGGACAGAGATGAGATGCAATTAAGAGGTAGAATTGATAGGACTCAGTGCTGGATTGGTTGTGGGGCTAAGGAAAAGAAAGGTGTCAAGCAAGGCTCCTGGGTTTCTGGATTAGCAACTGGGTGAATTGTGTTTTGCAATGAAGAAGGAGCATATTTAGAATAGAGGAGATTGTTTAGAAAGAAAATGAGTTCAGGTTGTCGCACTTTAAGTATGAGATGTTTATAGGACCAGTGACTAGAAAGAGAAGTTGGTTGTATGCATCTAGTACTCAAAAGAAGGTCTTGGAAGGAAACACAAAATAAATTAAATGGTCTTTGAAGCCTTTAAGTGGTGGAAATGATGAATGAGAGTGAAGTAAGATAAAAGTAAGTGATCATGAGCAAAAGTGAAGACACAGAGGCCTAAGATCTAACCTTAAACAATTTCAATGTTTTAAAGATAGACTGAGTATGAGAAATTTCCACAGGAGACTAAGATGGAGCGGTTGGGAAGGTAGGAGAAAAGTCAGGAGAGCATATCATTATGGAATTTCAGGAAAGAGACTATTTCTAACAGGCAGAAGTTGAGACATTACTTATGGGAACTGGATAATGTACATTGGGCTTAACAACATTGGGGGAGATCATTTGTGACTTAAGGAAGAGCATACTTAGTTGAGTAATAGCAACCGAAGCCAGAGTGGAATCACATGAGAGTGAATACAGTGTGGAAATAAAGGCTGTTTGCTCAGATACTCTTTGGATAAAAGTTGCTATTAGAGGGATAGAGGCAAGGGTCAGTAGCTTTAGAGGCACACATGATTCAGGGAGGATATAATTGTTGTTATCTTGAATTTTCTAAAAGGGAGAGATTGCAGCATTTCTGAATACTTATGGTCATGAGGGAATGTGTTCTGTTTCCGGGTCCACAAGGGGATGTAGTTTTAAGGGCAAAAACTTCCCAGTGCCATGCCCCCCTCCCATCTCTTCCCATCCGGGATATTTAATGGTCTCTGTTTTAACTTTTCCTGTGCACAGGAAGAACCAAAGGTCAATCACTCAAGCGGAAGTTCTAAGGAACTCCTTTCGTTGGCCAAAGATCTAGGAGAATGTGGGGGTTCCTCCCAGGTTAAAAGTTCCCTTCTTACACACCCCTTTGGACTCCATGTTTGGATCCCCTTCCACATACTCTCTTTCTCTCTCGTGTGGAAGTTCTCTCTTCTTCCCCTTTTTTTTCCTTTTTTCTCTACCTAAATAAATTCACTTTTTTGCAACACTGTTTGGGGTCTGGTATTTATTTTGTGAGTGCACCTGATTCCCCTCTCTCCTTCTTGAGAGAGCAGGAGACCAAGAACCTTGGAGAAATGTCCTCTCAGGGGAACTAAGGGCTCCCCTGAACCCCTGAACCCCAACTGTAAGTGTCCAGAAGGTAGCAAGAATTTAAAGATATTACCACAGTGTGAAGAAAGCACAGAGGCAGCTGGGTAGGAACACAGATTACAGGGGTGCAAAAAACCCTCAAAGGCCCAAAGGCACACACACTCACACCCACACCCACAGGCATACCCCCTATCCACTAGAAAGAAGTAGCTGGTACATTCTGTAGGACTTGTTAGTCATGTTGGATACCAAATATGCCAGGTTGGTTGCTAATTTATTTGCAATAGCTCAATTCCCACAGCACACTAGAATAGAAGTCCCATGAAAGCTAGAATTTTTCTACATATTTCTCTTTGCAACATTTCCTAGTGCCTATGACTAAGGCTGGCAGGTTGCAAGCCCTTAATAAATATTTACTGAGTAAGTAAATGAATTAGGTAGGTCTGATTGATTCGATTTTGTAGATGAAGGAACTGAGAATTAGAGAGGTTAATTATTTTGTCCGATCATAAAGGCAATAAGGAAAGATACCTGGGTTTGTACACAATCAAGGATTTTGATCAACACACTAAGTTGCCTTCCATTTTGAATCATATTGGATGAAACAAGCATATTTTTTAAGAATTTTAATATTCCCACATACTACCCTCATTATGTGAAGAGATTCTGAAGTATTAGAATCAAATTCATTAAAGCACTTAAAGAGTATTGATATTTATTTGACATGCATTTGATTACCCAGTGTGGAAAACCATTACCAGCTATCCAGGCCCTTCTTTTAGAAACAACCAGCAACTATAAGCCCTATTTCTTTCCGTTTAAACCTTGTACCATGCGCAGGCATCCCTTTGATTGCCATATGCTGTGTTGTGCTCACTGTGCATGTACTTTTTTTGTTTTCCTATTTCAATCCCTTAAGATATCTTTGCCTTCCTCTCTTAACTTGTGCCAGTATTAATTATGATCTTTTCTCCTTCTTTTATCTTACTTCTGCCTCCGTCTCAAATACTGAATCCAAGCTTTCATCCAACTTTTTAGGGAAGCTAATATCATGAAATTGTGAAGGCCTGGGATCTTCAAAGAGCCAAGGATTCTGCCAGACTGAGCAATAGACATGATGAGCATTCTCCACTTAAGATCTGAACTTTGAGAAGTAGAATCAAAGCGATTCTTTTGTAATTCCAAACAGCCATTTCGGCATATGAAGAAACAAAAGTAACATAAATCTAAAGACTAGGAAGAGGGTCAATGAAAGGTAAGGAATCCTCAGGAAACCAGAAAAAAAGTATTTCCTTTGGAGACGGTGGGCTTTTCTAATGAGGAAGACATAGGACTCCGAATATTATCTATAGCTTATTGCTAGTTATGTTTAGTAAACTATAAATTCTATAGTAAACTCTGTTAGTTCTCATTCTTGCATCTGAGTTTATTCTCAAACAATCCTTGTTAATCTTGATAAAAGTGCATTGGGATTGCACTTTTATCAAGTGCATCTCTTTAGGTATTGTTGTACACAGAAATCTTTAAGAGACTTGCCTCCAATAGGCTGATGAAGTGAAGACACTTATAATTAGTCCAGTGGGCCATGTAAATAGTTTTCTTACAGATTTCTATGTAAGAAAATCTTGTTTCTATCTGGATGTATTTGGAAGTTCTATGGGCTACTTAAGACTTCCTTAATCCTCTAGGGCAGTGAAAACAGACTCAGGCTTATTGGCTTAACTCTGCCTTCTTGTAAACTTTTGTTATGGCCATGCCTCTCATTCCTAAATATTATTATTGTGACTCTCATCTAATAAAATTTTACAACGACAGATCTTGGATCTTTTAGAAGAGAAAAAACATCTGTTTAATTCTTAAAAGGATATTGTTTCTTCCTAGTTACCAGAGTAGAATTTATAAAGTTTATAATCTGTGTGTTTCTATGCTTCAATCTCAGTTATCAAATGATCTCAGAAAAGATTAAATTGCATTTCTAAATCAGAAATTTCAGGTTGGTTAAATGCCTAGAACTGTATTGAATGCTATCATATGACTTCTCATACTTGTGTGATACAATTCAATGGCAATTTTTGCCCACTTAAAATGGAAGTGGTATCATGAAGACTTGACAGAATGGTGGTAGTTGAGTTTGATATCAGGTTTACCATGTGTCTTTAGATAAGTGAATTAACCTTTCTGAGTCTCTGCTTCCATATTTAAAAATGAACACTTTGGGACAGCTAGCATTCATTTACGTCTTCAAACATTTATTGCATTCCTTCCATGTTCTAGCTGCTGCACTTTTTGCTTGAGTTACAACATTACACAAGATGGTGTTCCTGTCTTCATGGGCCATAGTGTAGATGACAAAGATAAATAACTAGGCAGTTATAGAACAGTGAAATAAACAATACCAGTAAAAGCATAAGTTCCAAGGTAGTGGGCTGTCAACTTTATCCATCCTCTAGATAGATTGCCAATTATTTACATTTCTTCCAATTTGTCATGCAGTCTTCATTGCCTCCATGTCTTTAAACACGTTCCCTCTGCCTAGAATAGTATTTATTCTTTACCTAGCTAATGTCTACTTAGTCTTCAAGGTTTAGATAAAGTCTTACTTCTCAGGGAAACCTTGTTAACTCTCTGAGTTTGGTTTGTGTGGCCTTCTTGAGTACCCCTGGCCTTTATACGCGTCCTTCAAAAAGTAGCTTGACTTTATTTACCTACCAGTACTATTGTTAGGATGTAAACTCATTCACTGCAAGAATCCCATCCTTTATCTCTTTGTTCCAAGAACACAGTCTGATGTTTTATACAAAGCAAATGTTCTATAAATATTTATGGATTATATGAATATCAAACATTTATTGAACACCTGTTTTGTGCCAGGCACTAAGAAGGGATTTCCTTTATTTCTTTCTTCTCTTTCTTTCCTTTCTTCCTTTTTTTTTTTTTTTTTTAACAAAGTCTTCCTCTTGTTGTCTAGGCTGGAGTGCAATGACATGATCTCAGCAAACTATAACCTCCACCTCCTGGGTTCAAGCCCTCCTGCCTCAGCCTCCTGAATAGCTGGGACTATAAGCCCCAAAACCATGCCCAGCTAATTTTTGTATTTTTAGTAGAGACAACTCTCGACCTCATGATCCAGGGATTTACTTTCATCACCTTATTTGCTTTAATTTTTACAACACTGTCTGTTATTGTGTGTGTAGTATTCCTATCCCCCTTTAGAGATGGAGAAACAAAGATTCATAGAAGCTAAGTAATTTTCTCAGTGTAACACAGATGGACAAACCCAGAGTTTGAAGCAGGTTTTCCAGAGGATTTTCTCTTTTATTCTACTGCACTGTAAATCATGGGTTTTGTTGTTTTAACATAAGTGTGTGTGTGTTTGTGTACATGTTCAAAGGGAAGTGGTTTTAAAGAAGATCACCTTCTCTAAGAGGAAACTCAAGGCTAATGGTTTTTGTGCCATATTTGTATAAACTGATGTAAATCTACTCTTTGGTATTTTGGCTCAGTAGTGGGAGAAACATTGATCTTCTTCAAGTGAACAGATGTCTATGCATAGTTATCTCTTTGAAGCACTAATCTGCATACCTCTGTAAGATGTGTGTGTGTGTGTGTGTGTGTGTGTGTGTATGTGTGTATCAGATAGAGATATGTGTGTATAGCTCATCAGGAACAGTTTGTATATAAAATCTCCTAGGACACTAAGGAGAAACAGAGAAGTCTAGTTATCCAGGGCCTTGGGAATATTGGGATTATAAACACAGATAAAGTTATGTCATTTTAAGGAAAGTATTTGTAATTGTAAAAGACCCAAATATAAAATTTGGGAGATGAGCAATACTGACCCCCTACTAAATGTATGAAGTTAGCTGGGGAATGTTTTCTGCTGACCAGAGAAAAAATGTAACTTCATTTAAAGTCAAAAGTCCTAAGTTCTCACTCAACTAGATTCTATAGAATTCTGTTCAAATATTGAAACAATACCTATTTTTCTTAATTTCAAAAGTTCCTGAACATAATCAGTAGCTAGACAAAAATCTTAGCTCTTTTTAGCCAGACACAATGGAATAAAATAGAAATATAGGCATTTCTATTCTAATGCCAATGTTTGTACTATTGAATAAACTTACATTCTGGAAAATTGGACACAGAAAATAATAAGTCCTGTGGGGAAAATAAGGTGTGGAGAGACTGCTCAAGAATGTGACATTTAGAAAGTAAAACACTAAAAACACTAAGACAATTACTATTAAAAAATGCTGGCATAGGTAACCCTCTAACAGAATTGGTACCTGGCTTCAGACATGGTTGGTCATTAGAAATTTAAAACCTGGGGCTTCCGTTTGTTTCTTTGAGATGTAAAATATGGACCATTTTTATTAAAACTAAAAATCAGATCCAACATTTAGCCTTTTTTGTTAATTCATTATTTTAATATGGGGATTAATGTCTTTGTAGCTTCTGAATCTGTGTTGGCACTTTTACCAGCAAGTTTAACATAATTGAATATGTAGACAAGTGCTTGAAGCACTAAAGAAAAGTGCTTTTGTAGATTTTTTAGTGTTTTCCTTAAGATCTGTTTCTTTGGTTGTGACAAAGTTTACCCTGGATAACTTTAAAACATTAAGCTACTGGGAAACAATATATAAGGACCAAAAATACTTTTGTGTTATAAGAACATCGTTCCCTGTTTTCCAGTCATATATGGAGAAATTTACATCAAATATTTGGCTGTTTTACAAGAACAGATTCTCCTAATTCATGTGATATGTAAGGTTCCAACAACGTGAAATGAATGCTAGATTCGGCTATATAAATCTCTGACTCACTGACTATTTTCAGAACCTGCAAATCTTAATCCATGCCAGTGTTCTGCGATAATAACACAGTAAACAAGATTTTGCTTATAGACTCGCAGTATAGAGTAACCATGTGTGGTGGAGGTGGATTTTAAGAAAGGATTAAATGGTACCTTGGGAAAGTATAAAGAAACAAAAAAAATACATTTATTAGTTTAACAAATACTTTGAACTGTGCTAGATTTGTTTTACATCAAATAATCATTGACTTCAATGTTTCTGTTTCAATTAGATGGTCTTCCTTCTTCTTTTCCTCTTTCCTTTCTTTTTCCTTATTATGTCTCCTTCACTTTTTTTTTTTTTTTTGGTCTTTAGGTTCTATGGTACATGTGCCAGTCATGCAGGATTGTTGCATAGGTACATACTTGGCAAGGTGGTTTGCTGCCTCCATCCCCCTGTCACCTATATCTGGCATTTCTCCCCATGTTATCCCTCCCCAACCTCTCCACCCCCAACAGACCCCAGTGTGTGATGCTCCCCTCCCTGTGTCCATATGTTCTCATTGTTCAACACCCGCCTATGAGTGAGAATATGCGGTGTTTGATTTTCAGTTCTTGTGTCACTTTGCTGAGAATGATGGTTTCTAGATTCATCCCTATCCCTACAAAGGACACTAACTCATCGTTTTTTATGGCTGCATAGTATTCCATGGTATATATGTGCCATGTTTTCCTTGTCCAGTCTATCATCGATGGGCATTTGAATTGGTTCCAGGTCTTTGCTATTATAAACACTGCCGTGATGAACATACTTGTGCATGTGTCTTTATAATCGAATGATTTATAATCCTTTGGATATACACACAGTAATGGGATTGCTGGGTCAAATGGAATTTGTATTTCTAGATCCTTGAGGAATCACCACACTGTCTTCCACAATGGTTGAACTAATATATTACTAATCCTAATATAAAACTAATTTACACTCCCACCAACAGTGTAAAAGTGTTCCTATTTCTCCACATTCTCTCCAGCATCTGTTGTCTCCATATTTTTTAATGATTGCCATTCTAACTGGCGTGAGATGGTATCTCAATATAGTTTTTATTTGTATTTCTCTAATGACCAGTGATGACGGGCACTTTTTCATATGTTTGTTGCCCTCACATATGTCTTCTTTTGGAAAGTGTCTGTTCACATCCTTCACCCACTTTTGAATGGGTTTGTTTTTTTTTCTTGTAAATCTGTTTTAGTTCTTTGTAGATTCTGGATATTAGTCCTTTGTCAGATGAATAGATTCCAAAAATTTTTTTCCCATTCTGTTGGTTGCCAGTTCACTCTAATGATTGTTTCTTTTGCTGTGCAGAAGCTCTGGAGATTAATTAGATCCCATTTGTCTATTTTGGCTTTTGTTGCCAATGCTTTTGGTGTTTTAGTCATTAAGTCCTTGCCTGTCTATGTCC